TTCAAGTGCATTTTTTGTTAGAGACTGAGAGTCCGCTTTGTTAAACATTCTTTTAAAAATGAAAGTTTATTGATTTATTACACTTACATATTATGCTTTTATAATTATTAGTTGTAAAACGGTCACCAGGCAATATTATCGTTTATCGCAATAAATTTTGAGACAATTAATCACCCAGCAAAATTTGTTATCGTGACAGGCCTAGCTGGCATACATTTTTACCACATACATATTTGACAATAAAATAACAATAACACAGTTTATATCATTTCTGCAACAAGAACAATAATTTTTTTATGCTTTGACACTTTTAAAAAGCACAAACAAAGGTAATTTCACACACAAGAACCTAATTTAACAGGAGAGGAAGGGAGAATAGTAAAAATAAAGAGAGGGTGGGGTCATTTCCTCATTCGGGTCTGCATTGAGTCCAAGCATGAAAACTTTCACACAGTTTATTCATTAAATACTTCTGCTGGCTTAAGATTACATTATGATGCTGTTCAGTCATTAGCAGCTGCTGGGGTCATTTTTGCTGAGCTGTATGTTGACCGTTTTTTAATGTCAAAAGTTGTCACATAATTGCAGATTGTATTTTACAAATATATTTTTTTAATTGGCTGATGATGTTGAAAATGTAAAATGAGCTTTTTGCTCAGCGTGACACAGGTAGAGCAGAACAAGAACAACTTTTAGTGGTAATTTTCAGCATGTGGTTATATATCACTTCTCCATTAACAAGAATTATAAATCACAGCTGAGCATAATGAGAGCATTATCCAGCAGCACGGAGCGATCTAAAAGTCCATTTTCACCACTGATCGTGTAGACATTAAACTCTCAACATTTCTTGACTTGCATAAAAACATTGTAACTTTTGTTTAAATAAACATTTTTTCCCAAGGCTCTGCATCTCAATGGACCCAGTCTTCTGGCCAGGCCACGCCTTCACCTAACTTTGATGGTGGAGTTCAGTCTATGGTGAGTCCGTCTGTTTTCTTTCAGTGTGAAAGATCAGGGCAAAGCTCCTCATCTTTTCTGTTGTTCTTCATGTCTCACAGCAGAGTAAAATAGAGGACCACCTGGATGAAGCCATATGCGTTCTTCAGCGACACGCCAGCGGACAGGGAGGGTTACCTCCAGGCTTCAGCAGTGCAGCACTTGGGCTGGTCAGTCGCCTGCCAGGGCTGGTGAGATTTACAACATAATAACAAACATTTTTTTCTTTATGATGGTGATTTAATGTAGTGGAGTAAAAAATAAAACTGAGAAGTTTGTTGAGCTACATTTAAAATCAGTTTCTGACTTGAAGGTTTCCAGTCTCCATGAGGACTCTGCTGGTCTGCCCTCTAGTGGAGGACTTCTGCATCACAGCTCTGCATCTGTTCATTCAGCCTCTCAGCTTACAGGTGGGACATTTCTGTTT